AGAGAGAGAGAGAGAGAGAGAGAGAGAGAGAGAGAGAGAGAGAGAGAGAGAGAGAGAGAGAGAGAGAGAGAGAGAGAGAGAGAGACTGTTTCATTCTCTGACTTCACACTGGCCTTCACAGGCCCGACATATCGGTTCAGGGGGTACCCAGGCCGGCCTCGCCAAAACCCAGGCCTTTTTCCCCCGGTAGGCCCTGTTAGGCCACCGGTTGGCGCCTCAGTGCCTAGCAGACCAGGGTTGGCCCAAACGACATGACCGTTTGGGCCTGGCGGCGCTCTTGAGGCTGCCGCCCACCGGTCTGAGCTGAACGGTCATTTCGATGGTTCAGCCCACGGCGCAGGAGGCCAGCATCGAGGCCATTCCCACAGGTTGGGAAACAGCAGCAGCAGCCAGCATTAGCGCTGCGCTATTTCGGATTCAGCACAGGGTTAAGGGCTGCAGCGCTAAGTTTAGCGCACTGCCGCCTAGGAGGAGCGAGGAGGAGCGAGGAGGACTTACCTGGTAGACAGCGGGGCGCCATAGCTCCAGCGACTTGCAGTAGGACTCCCGCCACAGCCAAGGCGCCAGCTTGCCAACTGCAAGTTAGGCCTGAGGCTACTCGCCATCTTCCCAACTCTCTGTCTCCCGTCTTCTTCAGACTTCTTCTTCTTTTTCTCCTTCTTCAGACTATTCTTCTTCTTCTTCTTCTTCTTCAGACTATTCTTCTTCTTCTTCATCAGACTTATTCTTCTTCTTCTTCTTCAGATTGGACACCAAGATACGAGTTGAACAGAGATCAGTGTTTTGACTTCGGTAGTAGGAGGCTGTGACACTTACCTGTTTTCGAGACATTGGAGACATTGGGATTGATACTCAGTGGCATCACAGATCGGACATCGGTTACATTGGGATTCTGGCATCACAGATCGGACATCGGTTACATTGGGATTCTGTACCTCCTACATTCATGTCCACAACATTCTGGTTTTGTTCGGTGATATTTTTGCTACCATATCGGTGACCTCTGGATTCTATCTCGGTGACATCTGGCGCTGTCCACATCTCCCACCTCCATCGTCTCTCCTCCCACCATTCATCTGTGTATGATTGTACGGGGCCTGAAGCATCGTCTATGCATGGCTTCAGACCCCACCATCCCACGATTGTTTGTGTGTTGAGTGATGTTGGGTGAGTTCGGTCAGTCCATTTCTCAGACTTCCGCTACATACATGCTCATCCTATATTGGTTGATCTTTGGTTCTGCCTATACTTGGTGAAGTATTCACTAGTATGCAACAGAGACAGAGAGACAGAGAGAGACAGAGAGAGAGACAGAGACACAGAGAGAGAGACAGAGAGAGAGTGAGAGAGAGAGGGAGAGAGCAAGAAAGAAAGGGGGAATGGAAAACATCCATGTTGAGACCTCAGAGAGCAGCAGAAGTGTCAGAAGGGGATATCAAGGGGGCAAACCTGAAGTCAGAACAATGATGATATATTGCCAGCCAAGGGCTGGTGTATGCCGCCGTATTGACCTCATCTCCGATACCGAAACTGCCCGAATTGTGTATAAATTCCGATCTGAGAACCAACAGAAAGACATGAAAGCAGGAATCATCAGATCCATATTCATAAAGAGCACCAACACTGGGTCGTCACTCGAATGTCCAGTCAGACAGCAACCAGAGCTTATCCCGGCAGTGGTGCCTCTCAGAACCTTTAAAAGTCCCTTTGCAATCACAGCTTCATATCCTTGGTACATGATCCTCGCTTTCCTTTTATTCTTTTCCTTTTTAAAGGACGACGGCCATGAGGTATCAGCATTGAACTGACTGACCCTAGATGATTCGCAAGTAATTGATTTCATTCATTCATCTCGTTCCATTCGCACTCGAACTCAGGTCCGTATTTCCACAGTTCATGATGGTACCAACTGAGCTACGCCCATCGGTATTCTCCCTCACTTCCAGAGTTATAGTGCCACAATCTCAGCTTTACTCCTCTTTACTTCTCTTTCAGCCAAGAGATGAAGTAGTACCCAAGAGCTGAGCCACCAAAACTGCCAAAGATGCAAGCATATGAGCATAAAGACGAGTTCAGGCAGCTGTGGAGAGAAAGCTTACAAGAAGGGCATCCAGGACATGATCAGTTACTGTGCATGGTTTCTGGACCTGCACCATCATGCTTGAAGAACATCTCTTACAAAGTGGATATAGTCAAACCCATCCACCTTCTTATTTTTCATTTTCAACACCTTTCTTGGCCTTTTGACCAGGATCAAGTGCAATCAATTAAAAAGAGAAATACTTCTCCGAAACTTCTTAATATACTATGTCCCATAGTACAGTACTTCCCAGCCTCTTGTTTCTGGAACCTTTCTGCCAAGGACAAATCAACATTCTCACATTCAGAGGAACGTTTTCATTCCTTTGTCATCCTCTACAATACCTTCATATGGTGCTTCACTGACACCATGCCCTCATGGCAGTCTCTTTTGTGGAAACAAGGATATAAAATTACAAAGACATATTATTGCATAAAGCGCATCCAGGCACATGTGGCAAGCCGTTAGCAATCTGCCCTGCAAATGTGCTGCCAGCATATTTTTGCAGAGCACAATTGAACATGCACAGTCGCACCAGCCCCAATCTCCTCTAAGCATCGCCAAGGACTGCTGGTAGCAGAGATCATACCTCTGGACATCTGACAGCAAACCAGCCCCCAACGTTCTGCCAATCGTTCCCACAACCCAAACCTCAAAGTCCCCAGCATCACCCATTTCTTCAGGACCTTCCCACCTGGGTTCACGTCGGGAGCGGCGAAGATTGAACCTGGACCTGCCCAGAATATCCTTCCACTGTCTATACTTGCGACGCATGGTGAATCTGGACCCGTACAGAACTTCATAAGCCCATAGTGTTAGGCTGTAGTTCCTTGGTATAGGACTACGGCTGCATATCGGTATTCCTCGGATCCAGTAGGCAATATTGAGAAAAAGTTTCCGTGGGCCATTGATCGCAGGGATCGGGCGTAGCACATTTGTATGAAGAATAAGCCTTTGGCATGAAGCCTCCGAAAAGCTCCGATAGGCTTTAGAGGGTTCGAGTGGATTTTTGAGAATTCAGTAGGCAATGCTCAAGAATCCAATAGACTGAGCGCGGGAACAAAGGGCAGCACAGTTTGAGGGGTATGATGGACTGTATTGAAGGTCACGGTCAAAATCCTTTTTTTTGTCACACAAGCAAACACTCACACAGCCACATCTATTCTGGGAGCACCAACCCGGTTGATTATCACCGGTAAGAACATCACAAACAAAACAAAGAAAAGACTACACCCTGGCCACAATCCAGATGAGGCGTGGACGCAGGGCCTCAAAAAGCAACAGGGCCCGGCAGGCGGGCCAAGGGGTCACCACCAGAGAGGTAACTGGCACATGCTGACCGTCCCCAAGCCTTACCCCACATGGTCCACAGGGCAACGATTTCCAGTAGCCTCAATTATGACGTTCACGATGGACATATGTTTATACTATGGACACAGAGTGGGCAAGCAGCACCAAGCAGCGCCCGGCACCCATCCATCCCCTGGCCACAACAAAAGCACAACGGTCCCATTCCCCCCGAACATCGCATCGAACCTTTTACACTTTGCTCATTCGAAGTACAGGGAAAAGGGCAGTGCGTCATGAGTCTTTACTTTGGGAGAAGACCGGTGGACCAGCCAAAGCTGCTTCGTTCTCTGCATCTAACCAATCATGTTCAGAGCCATCTGTTGAATGTTGAACATCATGGTTGGGCTCCGAAGTGTGCAAGTTGGCTTTCATCGTTTCCTGATTCGGCCAATGTCTGAGTGAGGAAATTGATTGAACTGCGCAAGTAGTGCCAGAGACGTACCGTTCCTGCGGTTTCAACTCATCCCCGCACCCCACACACTGAACTGCCCAGTATCACCCGTTTCATAAGAACCTCTCGTATGGGTTCCTGAGCTTTATCTGCTCACAGGGGTTGGTGCATCAGTAAGGGTGCCATAGGGTGCCATACAGTGCCATAGGGTGCCATAGGTGAGCTTCACCACCCGTCCTTCTCTTACCTCCTAAAACCTACAGAGGGCCTCGGGCGATGCTCCCCGCGGGCCCAGGAGAAACGCGGGGGAGCGAACACAAGGCCTGCCTGGCGGTCCCACGGAGGAAACGTAGTGGCCCAGACATCAGGTCCGCACGTGGGTGCCGGGACACAAGAAATACCAACACGTGGCGGTTCGCGGTGAGGGGGAGAGCAGCGGACCAACACACATCATTCTCTCGCGCGTGACGGTATTCGGAGACATTGGGGGCCCACACGAAGATGTGCGCACAGCGCGGACCAGCGGGGGGCGTGCAGGAGAAGATAAGCGCTCGTGGCCCCATGCGGGAGAAGTGCAGCAGTCGTGGTCCCGTGCAGGAGAAGTGCGGGAGTCATGGTCCCACGACGAACAGAATGTGGGAGCTAGCGCGGTGCATCGAAACCATGGACAACGTACGTTAGGGAAGTGTGGTAGCGAGATGGTGGCGGATGTGTGTGTGCGTAGAGCGAGTGGACGCGGATGCGGACGACATGCATGAGCGGTGTGGTGCGTTGCGTGCATCGACCCTCTGGACGTCCGCATGAGGGGAGTGTGGGAGCTGATGTGATGACGTGGATCCAAGTCATGGCGTGGAGCAAACTTCGATGATCTTCGACATCTGAAGCGGGTACTCTCCTGTCAGACACCTAAACAGGTAGCCATGAGTGAGCATCTTGAGCGGCACACTATCTGCTCTGGCAATATCTTGATCGGTGGTGCCATCCTATCTCATGCATGGATCGAAGGTTGATGACGTGGAGCAATGTGATGATGTGGATCCAATAGTGATGACATGGAGTAAACTTTGATGATCTTGACATGTGAAACCAGAGGGATGAGTGAGCATACTGAGCGAGCAACATCTCAATCAGCGGCGCCATCTTATCTCGTGGAATCAAACTTTCACGACGTAACATCATGGACGATGAAGGTAAGTTGTATCCCTCTCTCTCTCTCTCTCTCTCTCTCTCTCTCTCTCTCTCTCTCTCTCTCTCTCTCTCTCTCTCTCT